GTTCTGTTTTACGCATAGTGCGTATGATACATTATTTTACCCTTGTTGTTCACCAAATATTAAAGAAAGATAAAATCATGTGCGTGAAACAGAATGCAGCCTATACGTGTGAACTGTGGATACAATGTAAAAAAAGGCGTCGTGATTACGTGATTAAGAGAGGCAATCAAACCTATTCCTTTTACATCGCATCTCTATTTTCTACAGCCTAGTTAAAACTAAAACTTTTACGTTGCTAGAAATAAAGTAACGATAAAAATAACTAGTGAAATCATTACCATTATCCCAAAAATGTAGCTGCGTTACCATGAACGTTACTCCGAAGAAAATGTAACGTCGTTACCTATTCGTTACCGAAAAATAGCAACTTGTAACGGTAACATTATAAATAACGCGTTACCTGTCACCCTGAATATATATAGTACTACTTTATTGTTTCATAACGTTGCAACGTATGCGAATTATTCTTATTACGAAAATGTAAGTACGCTCAATGAATTACGAAACAAAATGACCTGTTGTGATCAATATCCGTTGAAAAACACTAAAGCAACCGTATAAGATTTAAAAAAAGTAGTTTGTTTTTTCACAAGTTATCCAATTTTACTAATACGTTAAATCATGTAAAACTAGAATTACAATACGTGAAAAATTAATAAATAAATCGTGGAATAGAAAGCAAAAAAGAAAATGTTTGAGTATAATAAAAAATCTCGACGTATGACCAAGATTTTCGTAGAGGATAACACTATTTTGATTATAATAATTTTTATGAAAATACGTTTATACTTATTACGAGTACTTTTTTTTATTATCTTATAAAGTAGCCTTGGATTATACCCTTCAGCTAAAACTTTCAATCGATTGTTATTCAAATGTTATCATCATGTTGAGACCATGAAGCAATAATTAACTTCCTTTTTAATTCGTGCTATAAATATCTATAATATCTATAGTTAGCTAGAGAATGCTTTTATGACAGGAATATTACAAGAAATAATGGTTGTTGATATATTTGTGTGCATACAACAGTTTTTATTAACAATGAATAATTTTTGAAGACGCTTCAAATAGTATAATCAAGTAATTATTATCTTCCGGTTATCAAGCACAATATACTTTTATATACTATTTATACGTGTACAAATTAATAACACTGTAGTGATCGCGGTGAGAAGCATACAAATTTTTTATTAAAAATTTTTTATTGCGTTCTCTCATTTTTAATATGAACTTTGTAACTTACGTTCACGAAGCGTTTCGCTGCCAATCATATGACATCGTTTGCCAAGGTGGTAATAAAATACCAGGTGAGTCTCAGTTAAAATGGAAGATATCTGTGCAGTAATTTAGTAATATACTTTTGTTTCCTTATAAATCTTGAGGTAAAAGTTTAAAGTGTAATCAAGAAAAAACAGCTTTGAAGATACAGAATATAATATCAAATAAGAATAAGTAAAAGAAGTGAAAAAAGTGATAAAAGTGACAAAAATCGAAAACCGTACAAAGCGTAACGAATCTTTAAAAAATACCGATTGATCCGTACAGCGCGATGTCATGCGCAATACTGGCACCTGGGTTTAAGTCGTCGACGAGCTGAGAGAGGAAGGAGTGTATTTCAATATACACCGATCCGATCTAAGTTGCGAATCACTTCACAAGGATGTGTGCGAAGAATGATTTTCTTCGATTTGGTTCAACACTGTATTTATTTGTAAAAAAAAACAAAATAAAACAAACATCTTTACAGAAGGGTGAAAAATACAAAAATTTGACTAATTTTAGAAAACTAGGACATTTATAAGCAAATGCGAACCGTTAAATGCAAATGTTTGTGCGACACAGTATCGAATACCTGTTCTCATAGTGTGTCTTTGTAAAAGAATACTACACACTATTTTTTCTTCGTCTATTAATATTTGATAGCATTATTAATATTTTTCGAAAAAAAAAAACATGCTAACAATGTTTTATATTTTAATGTCTAAATAAATATATTTTTTTTTAATAGAAAAAGGAAGATATTTTTTCCTATTTTAAACATTTTTTAAAACGTTAAAAACGCTTAAAATGTGTTTTTCGTACTTGGAAAATAAATTCTTTTGTAGTGACTGCTTAAGTAAAACAACAAATTATAAAATATATATATATATATATTTAAAAATAGTTATCTTTGTTTATATCCTTTTAAAACCATTTGAGGTTACATTAAAAAACGTTTTTCAGAACCTGTTAAATATATAACAATGTCAGACAAACTGTTATTTTTATAACAATAACCTTATTAAACGATTAAACAATAATTATGTGTTAGACTTCGAGTATACTACCCAGATAAGCACGTGCGTCAAAAAACGAAACGTCTTAAAGACGCGTAAAAGACATATTTATAACGTCTTGTGTTTTTAATTTGAATTTTTTGTTATCTGGGTAACGATTTAAAATTGCTAATTAAAAGAAAAAAAATTTCTGTATTTCCACGGCAATTAGTTTTTTAATAAAAATAATTAAATCGAGAACTAAATGTTAAATCATTATAATATTGAAATGTATTATGAAATTTACTTAATTCTGTGTGCTTTCCGAATTCTGAATGTATAGATTGAATTACTTCATAATTTATAAATATTTAAAAAATATACATAATAAAAAGTAAGTTATAAATAATATAAATAATAATTGTTATATACTTTTTATGTAATTATAAAATTATCTATAAAGTTATAATATCATCACAAATTTTGACGAACGATCATCTCAAAGTATACTCTTTTGAATATTACGAATTATTAATTTATAAATAATACATTCCAACATTTTTTCGACGTTTTTATTCTACTTGTGTCGTATTATCTAACAAGGGAGGTTGATCATCTTAAAAGTTTAAAAAGTTCTGAAATTTTGTGTGCAAGTAGAATAGTTCATCCATAACGCAAAACTATTTTTTTGTTTATGCGGAATTTCATTCTAAATAGGTCAAAAGCATCCCTTTGAAAAAAAAATTGGTTTTTTCTTTCAAAGTGAATATCGTTGATATAAGAGGTCGAAAAAATTTTTCAGACTAAAAATTGAAGTGTTTTCAAGAGTACTTTAAAGAACTATAATAAGAAATTTTTTTATTTATTTATAATAAAAATTATTTATTTACAAAAAATAATTTTTTATATTTCTAAAGTACTCTTAAAGTCTTTTAATTTTTATTCTGAAAAATTGTTTCTACCTCTTATATAATTTCGATCATATTCGCTTCAAAATAAAAAGAAACCGATTTTTTCCAAAGAGATGTTTGACCCTTTTAGAGTGGAATTTCGCATGGACAAAAAAATAGTTTTGTGTTACAGATAAATACTTGCACATATTTAGAATTTTTTGAATTTTTGAGTTGCTTAATCTTCCTTATATATGATAATTTTAAAATCTATTAGTAAAAAATCGCGTAACTAGTATCTTGTATAGCTGACGGATTTATAATCACTTATCACACATATTATTATACTATTATTATTATTATTTTTTTTTATAGGCATATGCGTTACAGTATCATGTTCCTTGTGTACACAGTCTATATAAATCTAATATATTCAATGTTACTGTTAATAAATATCCTATTTTGCATTACACAATTTTTGGAGTAATTTTTTTTTATTCTGCTGTAATTACAGCATTTAGCATTACATTATATTGTATAATGTTTTTTAGTCCACAATTCTTTAGCAACTGAATTATAGACAGTATCGCGGGAAAATCTGACTCTTCTTTTCTTCTCCCCTCCATCTAATTTAGTGCGATGAGAACGGATTCATCTTTGCAGTTTTACATCGTCGGCGGATTACAAACTAAATCCTTGACACGCATCATTGTGCCGTTACTAAGCTACGGTAGATCCTCTGTAGTTCTTTAAGATGATTATAAGCAGTGGTAGTGTCCGTTGGCGCGGAATTACTGGTAAATGTAATGTACGAGTATTAACGGAATAGCCATGATTTTGATTGCCCAAACAATATACACCGTTGTAAATCTGTAGTAATTGTTCCATTGTATGATGTGCGATAGTTATATGTACGCGATATCAAGTGTTGTGATTTTAAATATGAGCTTAATGAGGATACCAATTTGTCATAATATTATAAAGAGAAATTCTAATAATCGACTTGCTGTGGTGAAATAAGAAAATAATAAAAATTAGAAGGATTCCAACTATAAGAATAATTACTTTAAAGCAGATCGTTTTGTTGAAAAAATAATGACTGAAAATAACTTTTTCTTCTATTCCCATTCTTCAATATCATAAGGTTAAAAAACATTAATCGTGAGAGGAACGCGTGATTACGCAAATACCAATATCTGCACTCTACAGTAACTATGCCAAAGTAGGACGTAGCGAAACTAGCTTCGGGTCTCTATCGAGCCACTTCAAACGCTTCCCTTTCTCCGGAAGCCCTTACTCAATGAAAATTTTCAACAAGACGCGTATTAAGATGCAAGAATATATATGCATAAGAGCATACATCAATTAATCTAAAATAATTTTGTATTGTACTTTTAATCATATTTATATACGATATATTTATTCATTTATATATTATTATTTATATATTGCGTTTAATACTATTTAATATATTCTATTAAAAAAGATAAGAAATTCTCAAATAAATATAAAGCTACTAAAATGGTCATTATTTAATTTTAACGCATTTAATGATTAATAACTTAAACACTTTCCGATTAAAAATAATGACCTCCATTTATTTTAATAATTCCGATTATTTTAATAAAACCATAATTTACATAAACAATTTTTCATAAAATTATTACAACCTCAAGCATTTGTAGAATTTCCATGTAAATATGAAAGAACACATATTTGACTTGATTTTCATTAAAAATTAATTTATTATATCATATCAATATATATAAATACTTTATATATATAAATACTTTAGTTTTCAAATCACTTAAATTTAATAATTGTTCAACCTAACAATTTTGTACGATGTATTTGGTCGTTCAGATTCCGTCGAGTATCTTGAAGAAATATTCCACCTGAAAAAATTCAACGTAAATTACAAGAGAAATAAATGTCAAATGTGACTAAAGTTTTAAGCAAATGTGTGACTGAAGTTGTTTTTACCTCTAATATTCCGTCTTCTGGCAAGTCAGAACAATGTATAGCGTTTAGTATTTTCGTTTTTCCATACTTGGCTCTAAGCGTATTCGGTCTGATTTGTCGCGCAATGTTCTGTATCAAGTAAGTATGTCAATAACGTGAGATAAAGCAATTAAAGTAGATTATACTTGCCGGATCCATTGGACCGCATAAATTCCTGAAATCAGCAACTATGTTAGGGCTCTCGTTTTTACAGTTCACTTCTAGAACGATGCATGGACCAGATTGTAATTCTGCTACCATTGCCTGTGAAGTGTTTATAAAAATATGTCCATCTTCAGAAATAATTATTTGTAAAAAAAATATGTAAAATATAAATGAAAACGTACAGTATATTCAGGAAGAACACTTTTATATATTTCTAAAAACTCCTCAGAATTAATTGGATTGACATGAAATTGTTGTGCAGCGGTAATCGTATAATCGGCTTTTTGAATGTCATCAATAATTGCTCCTATATCATAAATGTAAAATTAAAAATATGTCATATTAAATTTAAATAGAAATTTTAAAGTTATATGATAAATTTTATTAGTTGCTGTTTTACAGAAATGTATATATAAACATTAATATATATATATATATATATATATATATATATAGCAATTTTGTAGAGTTGCAGTGTTTTTAGGACCTTTATTTTTACTTTTTGAGTTAGGAAAGAAATATTGCAATTCCTAAAAGTAATCAGATGTTATATTAAAATGTGTTCTTATTTTATAAGTTTAATTATTGTATTTAAAACTTTGTACCTGCATTACAGTTTCAGAATCTTTGGATCCATATACAGCATTATGTATCTCATCTTTTCCATAACGAGCTCTTAATGAAGATGCTGCTGTTAAACGAGCATGATTACTATCTTCTGGGCCAGCTAATTCTTGCCATCTTGTTATACCATTTCCTCCTAATAATTCTAAAGCAACGACAGGGCCAGAAATAAGATAATTTATAACAGACCTAAAAATAAACTTTTACAGCTACAGTATCCAAAATTTACTTAAAAAATCGTAAATAAATCATAGTTTGTACTTAGGACACTGTTAATTCAAAATTTCACTTACGTCTTATCCACTACGTCTTTTTCTATAAAACAACTTTCTGCAATATCATCTGCAGTTAATCTTATCATTTTTAAATTTGTAATATGAAAATCACAATTTATAATCATTTTTAATATTTCACCCATTTTGTCAATAACATCTGGTTTCAAAAGTACAAAAACTCTGGAAAAATAAAATTATATCAATTAAGTCAAAATTTTTTAATATCAGAAAAATCATATATAAAATTATTTGTATTTTTATTACTTTTGTAGTTGCGTTTCTAATTTTGTTTTGGTACAGGCATCTGCGTAATCCGTAATTTTAATGCATCTTGAAAATATTGTTATTACAGAACCAACATAAAAATCTTTAGCTTTAATGCCCTCACATGTTGTTCTTCTTAGGAATGTTTTCCTTGTTTTTAAATCAAACTAAAATACAGTACACACAATATAATGACATTTATTACCAAAGAATAGATTCTTTGACTTATTACACGAAGTTTCAAAGGCAACTCAAATCTTTAAAATTAAATTATATGAGTTTTCTCACATAATACAATTTTAGTCATTTTTGCATATCAAAATGCATATACATTATTTAAAAAATCAATATTTTATTAAAACATTTTATAAGGTATTGTGACATGTATTTTGACATCAAATATATAATATCTTGAAAAACATTAATTTCGAAATTATGTTACCTTAACACTTTTATTTACAGAATAATAAAATTAATCAATTTATATAAAAATATAATTATTTTAATAAAAATTACATAATTCATAGTATACAAAAATTATATATTTGTATTTTATGTAATTTATCATATCTTTATACTTTTTTCTGTTATCTATAGTAAAGACATTTAATGTGCTTTATAAGTTTTTGGTGAAACATCTTGTAACATACAAGTTGTATGTAATATTAATTTGCACATACCAATTCGACAGTATTATCAGATGGATAATAATACAGATAAAATTTCTTCAGTATACAAGCGACTTTGTCATACCACTCAGCTTCAAATACATATCTGTCACTGTGATCTGCAGACATCTCGACATTTACATATCCTGACGTAACATATTAATTATCACTGATATGTAAAAAAACATCAAAAGTACATATCATGGAAATTAAACGTTATAAATTCAGCACTAGAAAAATATTTCAATTGGAAATATAATTTAACTCGTTTCGCACAAATAATTATGTTAAGTCTAAATATCTCAATAATATTATAGATGAAAGGTTTACAACGAAAAAACAATTGCTCTGACAGAAAATGCTCTGAAAATAGTAAAAAACACTCTTATAACAGAGAAACAAGCTTGATTTTGACAGCTGTTTTTTGTGACATTATTGGGCAACGCGCCTCTATGTTCACAAAATGTAGACATTGAATCATGTAGCTACGAACTTTTCAGTGGGTAACGTCACATCTATGATCTTTTGGTTGTGTTCCGTGTTGCGTCGATAAAATGTTGATAATGCAGATTTATAAAGCAATCATTATATCGGCAACGTTAATTGTTTATATTAATTTTATTTTAATTATAATTTATTATAGATTATTCATAAACAATATCTCCTCAATATAAATAATAAAGATAAAAATAAGGAATTGTTAATAAAATACGGAAAATATTATAGAACTTCCTGACTATACAGTCGCTAAAGGTAATTATAGTGTGATATATTATTCGAGGCTTTTCTCTGTGTGCTAAATATATAAATAGAACAATAGAAGTTAATGTACTTTTATATGTAATGCAATTATATATTATACAATAAAGAAGTGCTTTTATTACTTTTTCCTTTCGAAAAACAATGGATATTATTATAATAAAATATATACGAATGCATGTTATTTATATGTATATATTTTACTTGTCATACATAAAATTCGCAGTTTACTATCAATTTGGTGCTCGAAATTGATTAAACGAACCTTAGCAACGAAATCTTTAGCGCTAGGCAACGCATTAATCGTTTGCATAAGGCGTGTCTGACTTGGTCTGACTGACGCTCTGCATGCACGCATGCACGCACGCACGCATGCACGAACGAACGAACGAACGAACGAACAAAACGCGGTTTTGACAGCTCCGGCTGGCTAGCGCGGAGAAAACGCACCTTCGTGATACGTAATCCCTGACGCGTGATCCACATTTTATAATTAAATCCGTGCCTCCCTCGTGTCAAATACTATAGTGAATCGCAACCCTGTCTGGAACACTGGACGCATCCTAATTGGAATGTCCACATGAGGCTGCTGAAATTCTTGCTTCGTTATTTCCCGCCAGGTAAACAGCCAACGTATACATTAATGATGCTGTCCAACACGCTGTTGTTCCCTTAAATTAATATTTAATACCCTTGAGAAAATACTTATATAATAATATACTTGGATTTTAAAAGCCAAAGCCTTTTAAACCCCTTTCAGGTCTCGCTCTGGAGTACACGCAGGGCGGCGACATCAAGACAAAAATGATCGATTTATTCGACTTGTCAGCCGAGTAATTAAATCAATTTTCTTATTTGTCGTATAGCAACGTAGCTGCTTAATTTTTATACTTGCTTTTATTTTACTTTGAGTATGAATTTATACGTAAAGTTGTGGAAATTAAGCTAGTAATTAAACCATTTGCAGAACGGACGTAAGAGCGTTAGCGGAAAGCATAAAAGTGACCGAACCCTTAATAACCGAAAGTGTAATGGACCAGTTAGTCGAAACTCTGCAGAAACTGCAGGCTAAAGTTTGCGATACAAATACCAAGCGCTATTACAAATACAAAACCTTACAGACGCATCTTTTGCCAGTCACTAATATAGCATTCGATAAATTAGGTAAAAGGTACTCTATATTAAGATTGTCGCTTAATTATTAATAAGACTTGTAAAATTTACGTAGTTTTGAAGTAGGTAAGTGTTTTATATTATTTAATCCTACAATATATGGCACATTCGAAAAAAAAAAGCTGCAGAAAGGGACGAATATAAAGGTGTAAAATGTAAAAGCATTGATGAAAAAATTAATAGCAGCGAATAATTCATCGCATCATAGCATGACATAACCGACACGTCATTCGTTCGATCGACAGATGCTTGACGGGCAGCTATGACCGAACTTGTAAAGTTTGGGACATTGACAGTGGAGCGGAGCTTTTTACTCTCGAAGGCCATAAGAACGTGGTCTACGCCGTCTCGTTCAACAATCCGACTTCGTGAGTTAGTCACAATAATCAAAGTATAATCGCGACCATATCGACCCGGAATTGAAAGTAAGACACGGCGAGAACTCGTACGACTCACATCGGCCGAGATCTCCTTTATAATGTATAACGCGCGTTATTCATCACATGTGTAGATATATATACATCGCAATAGCGGCAGTTAGACCTTGTACCTTGAGACTATACCAGATTCTGGCCTCGAGCAGTTTTTTCAAAATAAAAATCAACAAGAAGGGCACTTTCTTAAATCCTTGGAGTAGAATCTAATAATTTCTAAAGAGTGACACAAAAAAAAATGACAATTATTATTGAGCCAGGGTTGATAAAAATCCAGGCTCAATTTTACCAATTTATAAGTGAGATTTTACTCTTTACAGTGACATTCCACTCCAAAGATTTTAGAGAGTTTATATGCTGTCTCTTTTTATTATATTTTGCTATCTCATTCTAACTTACTGAAGTTGACGGAAATGACAGGCTAATCAAAAGTCTGTCATCTCGTGGCGAGACTCTGCTATAGGGTCTCTCTAGACGGACGAATTGTTTTTACCGTTTCAGAGACAAAATTGTGACTGGGTCCTTCGACAAAACGGCGAAGGTCTGGTGCTCGCGGACGGGTCACTGCCTCACAACCATGTGGGGTCACGATGCGGAAGTGGTGGTGGCTAAATTCTCACCGACGCAATGCAAGCTCGCGACCGGTTCCATCGACGCGACGTCAAAAATATTCCATATAGAAACCGGTATTGAAAATATTGCAATGTTATCTCACATAATAAACGCGCGCTTCGATTCGGCCAGCTCGCGATCGATCGGACGCAACGTACCTGCCTTATACTACTGTTGAATCCACTTTACAATGCTCTACACAGTCTGCAAACAATATGCCAAAACAATCAACGTATCCTTGCATAATATTCTTATCACTGTTCTAATTATTGTCGACTTTACGTTATCGCAGCACCTGCCCGACGTTCTAATTAAACAAGCTTAAATAAAGTCATTAAATTGTACCAAGCTCTTATACGATAAGTCGTCTCTCTAAATGGCAATTTAGGTAATTTAGAATATCAACGAAACGTTAATCGCGATTGATTATATACCGCAAGTAACTATAATAATACATTAAGTGCAATGGATAAATGCTTTCTAAATAGATAGTAATAAATGACTAATATGCTTTAGTCATTTTTAAGAAGGCAAATTACTTAGTTCAGAATTTCTGGTTTTGTTATTTTTAATCATAATTTTTAAATTTAAAGACACTTAAAATACTAAGAATTACTACCTCGAGATAGATTTCTTTTCGAATAAAGCGTCCATACGTCGTAACCTTTTTTATGTGAGAGACACGACTTGGATTCAGCAGGTCAGGAATTGGGTACGTTACGGGGACACACGGCAGAAGTTATTGCGCTGCATTACAACGACGATGGAAATCAGATGATATCGGGTTCCTTCGACGGTACCGTGAACATCTGGGATACGAGAACATTTGCGTGGGTTTCTGTGTACTTTCTTATCTTGTCTTTATTTTCTTATCTCTTAAGCGCGACTTTATGTCATTATATAAAATAACTGTCAATGTGGAATAATTGATTGACATACTTTTGTTTAACCAATCTCTCACTTTTTTCTCTTAGCATCTTATATAAGTTTTTATATGTAAAATTGAATTTTTTTATAACAATTAAAAATGGAATTTTGATAAATATATTTTTAACTGATAATCTCAGACGAACGAGCGCGTTAATCGGCCATCGAGCGGAATTGTCCAACTGCCTCTATAATTTTGATTGCTCGTTGATTGCATCGTCCTCGATGGATAAAACCGCGAAAGTGTGGGATGCAAGAATGAATATTTGCTTGACTACCTTGTTGGGACACGACGACGAAGTTCTGGATCTCGCTTTCGACAACAATGGCAAAAGACTGGCGACAGCCAGTAGCGATACTACCGCACGAGTTTGGGATATAAGCAGTAATTTCCAACAGTTGGCTCTCATGAAAGGCCACCGGGAAGAAATATCAAAAGGCAAATTTCTTATCTTAGATGAACACTTTGCGCTTTCCACTTTTTTTCTTTATCTATGTATATTAAATATATTAAAATCCTGATGTAGATATGTCAAGTTATGTACATTAAAATCCTGAATGTACTTCCAGTTTGTTTTAGTCCAAATGGTCATCAACTTTTAACTGCCTCCTTGGACAGAACGACCAGGCTATGGTCCGTGGACGATGGCTCCTGCTTTCAGCAATTGAAAGGGCATACCGATGACGTTTTTGCTTGCGCATTTTCGTATACTGGGGATACCATAATTACCGCTAGCAAGGATAACACTTGCACGATTTGGAGGTGACTCGACTGGTTTCAAGTGTTTGCCTAGCTTTTGCTCATCGCTCTGTTTATCGTTTACATTGTATATTTTTATGTTATCTAAATACGATGTGTAGTACAGTCTATCGTTTTTCGATAAACAGACGAGCGATGATATCAAATGCTTCCGTGTTCTATCAGAACAACAACGTTGACATTTTGACAATGGTACACACAGGAACAGTAATATTGAGAATTTTTCCAACAAGAGATATTGCATAACATGGTGATTATTTCATCTTTGTTTAACTTTAGCGAATAAAACAATAAGGATGTACAATGATTTATTACGTTACACTGTGTTATCTGTGTCTCTTGTTGGAAAAGCCTCTATACCAAGAAAAGAATTTTACAGCAAAATTATTGCTGCCACAGAATATTCATATAAAAGTAAATTTCGCAAATTAATTATTGATATAGAAATAATTGAAGCTCTTCTTCTTTTAGTAACATAGAAAAATTTAGCTGAGGGTAAATTCGTAGAAATATAAATTATAAAAGTTTATTCTTAACACAAAATGCATTTTCTTGTGTTATTACTTCAATGGTATAATAAATTATGTTGTGTACATTCGATATTATGGTAAAATATAAAATTTAGATACAAAGAACGAAATTACTTTTAGTGGAAATATAAGTATCCAATGTGCTATTTATATAATGCTCAATGCAATTTGCTTTTAATATAAAAATATTTAAACATTAATGTTATAAAAAGGAAGGCGTGCCGGGCGTGTCGCCTTCGACTATGTCTAGCAAGCTAATAATATTGGTCAGCTGGGGATAAACAACAATTAGATAATTTATAATTTATATACAAATGTTTAATAATAAACGTCGCTAACTAAATCTAGCGTGTGGCTGTAGCCCTCTTTTTATGACATTAATGTTTTTATATCTAAGCCACTTGTATTATATCTATATTCAATAAAAATATTTATTTATTAAATAATGGCTGACACGACTAAATTTATTTATTGTATATGCAGACACTTCAAGATATGTAAAATTGCAAGAAACTTTATACACACAATTGTATGTTTATGTTAATGACAAAGATAAAATATTTACTATATCTCTTCTAAATGTACATAGCATAGATAGATAACATTCCAGATAGCATGTTAATGTTACTTTGACAATATTAAACATCATTTTGACGAAAAAGTAATAAATGATGTCAACTTGCTGTTAGGGATAGCATATCAAAGACACAAAAAGTAAACAAATATTATTTAATGTTAAGATTACAAATTAGTTCGGTCCGTTTTCTAAAAGATGATCGCCTTCAAAGACGAATCATTTTTTCGAGATGGAATTCGAAAATTGCCTGAGAGATGGGAAAAAGTAGTAGCCAGCGATGGACAATACTTTAATTAATCTGTTCATTCATTTTGTTTTGAAATAAATGCATTTTTGAACACAAAAAACGGACCGAACTAATTTGTACCCCTAATATAATAATTAATGTTGAGATAGAAATTTGAAAATGTATTAGGCAATAAAATAATAAATATTTAAATATTAAATCTCATAGGACTGTACATGTAAGAAACACAACCAATAAGAAATTGTCTTTAATAAAATAATAATTGCTTAAGCTTATGTGTAAATATTATACAAAATTTAAATATGTGTAAAAATTGTTCAAATAAAAATGTTATAATAGATATAAAATTATAAAGAGTTAATACTTTGTACATATTTATAAAAAAATTATACATATATGTATAATTATGTAACATATTTATGTAATAAAAATATATCTGTCACATATAAAAGATACATACATATACACAACGTTAAAAGAACCTGATGTTACACTTCAGCGTGTATAGTTATGTGTACGACGCCCCACTCTGAAGCCAGTCACTGACTTGAGGTTACATTATGTTCTGTTAGTTAGTCCGAAGTAGTAGTCTTGAACTCTTGGACTCGTTCGCATCGCATACGCGAGGTAAAATGCAATGCGTTATCGCGAGTTTTTTTGCTTTCTAAAGAGAGAAATATGTTGTAATGGATGTCAATTCTGTCGTAACGGAATTATATAAACATGTGTTGTATCGTATCGATATGGATTACAAAACTTCATCTTCGGTGCACCGAACTTGAAATCCGCGTTTAGATATTTTTTAATAAGGTAAGTGGTACAAAATTATATAACAGCAAATAGTTTGTAATATTGTAAATGTTATTAATTATAAACACATACAGCGTATGAAATTACTATTGTAAATAAATCATTAATTGTTAACATACTATTTAAAAGTAATATACAGCAATATTGTGTGATAACAATAAAACAGGTTTATGTAAATTTTTGTACATATATTTTACACATAATTTTCGCACCACATCAAATGTCAGAAGAAGAGAAGGAACAGTCGTATCTACCGTGTAGAATGCAGTTATAATCACTTCTCGTCTTCGTTTTGTTCGTAAGCTTATACGAACGTTACGTTAATTAATTATATAGCAATGCGAAAGAGATGTACAGTAGACGCAAATTAATTAACGGAAGCACACCATTAGTATCGAGACTGATATAATTAGCGTCGCTGAAGTCGAGAAATCATCGCGGTACGGCGATTTACAGCAATTCTAACGTTTCTTCTTTCTTGCATTTCCATTTTTCGCGTGTATGTATTATTTTATTATGAAAATCGAAAAGAAAAAAGAGAAGGGACTAATCAGTTGAACAATCCACAACGATAACTTTTATGGTATTTTATCAGTACGTCCATTACGGAAACAAATGTTATTACATATTCACGATAAAGCATGAATTCTACGTGAGCTTCGTTCATATAAATTTTGGAAGAAATATATTATAGAGCATCTTTTTGCCATTCTTTTCAATTCGAGAAAAATGTAAGGATGCACATATTGCTTTCGTCGATTTTATTGAATCGATTTGCGATTGTGATTTATTAGTCTGACATTTATGGAGAATCCATAATTTATTGCAAAATAGTATAAATAGAACATTTTTGTATCTTTCGAGGACGTGGAAAAATGTTTTCACCTTGCAGACTAAACTATGCTCGTTTGTTACGAAAGAAATACATGAATTTTGTCAGAACATTAAATGAAGATTACATAGAATGTAAAAAGTACATTTAAACAATTCAGTAAAACGTTTCGTTTTACTGAATAAAAATAACAAATAACACCTTTTTTTTTTATAAAAAGGAGATAGTTGTATACGTAAAAGAACAAAAAATGATTGATTGAAACAAATAAATTAATTATACAGATTACTTATTATTAGATTAGATAAATCATTGAATGGAAAGAGTAGAAGAATCATATTGAACTTTCAAAGATAATTTCGATTGAATTGTTTTCGCATTTAGTCTATGATAGTTCGATTGTGTATTTATAAACTTTTGCTCGTTTCGATATAAATATTTTAAATAATCAGTTTTTTTTTAAATAATCAGTCGATTACCACAAAGTATTTATATATGTTTGAAACTTAAAAAAGTTACTATTTTTACTTATCTTATCCAACTAAATGGACAGAAATAGCTGGTAGAATATAGCCGTTCTTATTTAAAAAAATTATTTTAATCATCTTAAGATACTAATACGATTCTGTGATTGGTTTGTGACATCTTAAGACTGTACTTAAAACGGTCTGAAAAATAAAACCAATTATATGAATGTATCAGTTATAGTCATAAGTTGTTGCTTGTGAACGTAAAATTGTAATAGGTTATTTGCAAGTGCAAATTCGTTATATTATTTTGAGAAAACGTACCTAATAGAATTGAAAGTTTCCCACCAGATGACCTACTACAAACGGACCTTAAATTCGATTCATATAAAGATTAAGTCTGGACACATTCCACGCAGGGTGCATAATAATTTAACATGATGTCCATTATCCTGTTACTTCGATTGTTGTGAACATTATCACGCATTATATGCATCTATCAACGATCGTCTTACTAAGATACTACAGGAACATTCAAAAACATATACTCTTTTAATATTTGATTAAGATACAAAAATGTTTAATTTTTTGTATATTAAGTGATACATTTTTGATTATTTTTTAAATTAATTTTTCTTGTTAATACGATATAATTAATATATTCGATCAATATTTTTAACATCTTCATGATATATAATATTATTCAATTAAAAAAAATATCTTACAGATATATAGCACTATTATTTTACTATATCAGCTACGAGTATTTTCAAAAATAAATGGTATATACTATTTAATAAATTGTTACTACATATAAATACTATATAAATACTTTATTAATAATATAATAAATAAATAATATAATACCATAAATAAATAAAATTATATAACAAATCATATAACAAATAATAATATAATAATTTATATCAATTTACATATTAATAACTTTTATAATTATTTTACAGATTACAAAATGACAGGAATAGATAATTTAAGCTATAACGATGGCGTCGGACCAGCGGTAAGTTAATAATACTAAATGATAATTTCATTAAAAGAGATGAATATACATACAGTACCACAAATAAATTTAATAGTATAAACTGAATAATGAGCATAGTAGTGATTCATAAAAATGACTGTCTCTCTCTGTATGTATGTACATACTGCTATAATAAGTATATATGTATATATAAACATTGTAATATTTTTTAATACAATAATGTTTGATATAACAGTAATTATTATGAATTACATAAATCTTGGTTTTAAACACGACTAGCTATTACTTTATATTTTATGTAAACACGTAGATGAATAAAGAAATTTTTGCGCCAAGTTCTTACGATAATCGAAATTGAGATAATTGAATTTCTAACGCACCGCGCGTTGTTATAAGAGTAATTTAAATGCTTGAACCACGTGATACCTGGAGGGAAGATAAAATTGATTTATCTGAATTCTCATCCCGTTACTTTCGACTTTTAATTATTTTTCAGAGATATAAAATTGGAGAAAATATAATCACGGGTTCTACTAAATCCTATAAATTTAACATCGCCGTCACTAGAATGTAGAAATAAATAACTAAAATGTCGTAATTTATATATTTTATTGTTGATGACATTCTAAATAAAAAGAATATTAAATCTAAAGTATTTTCTAGCTAACATAAAGAAGTTCTAAAGTGTGCAAATCATATTAAAGGCTATTTAAGTGTTAATTTATTATTTATCTTGAGAAAACATCAATAACGTGGGAAAAATCATGATTAAGGATAAATCTAACGCTATCACATTGATAAAAGGTTGTTGAGTAAGACATCAAAAATTAAGCAATAAGGACTGTATTATTACTTAAACACGTATAACTTGAAAATGTTCAAGCGATTAACGAATGACGCAGAGATTCAATATAGAATAATTGTTTGGTTTTAAATTGTGATTTTAAATAACGAATACCTATATAACTATCAAGTTATACATTTAAATAACAATAAAAGCCTTGTTGTTAATTGTTAATTCTTGAGATGTTATGATGACTTAACAACTTTTTATCAATAAATAAAAATATGATCATGATTGATAATATTGATATCATTGAAAGCATTGTTTATAATTACGATTTTTTTAATGTCCTTGATGTTTTTCCAAGATAAGCAACTTTTGAGTCCAATTAATTAGCTCTTTAATATGATATATAATTTGCTCGGAACTTCTTCTTCGTGTTAATTTTCTCCATAGAAACTTAATAGCCAAAACTTAACTCCTTTCAAAATGCATAATTATTTCTTTTTATAGAATGATTTACAAGGTTTTATCAAAAATTTATAAAGTATTCATGCTTAAAACGTTAATATGATGAATGTTTTTATAAATCTATACTGAATTTTGTTTCTCATCAACAGAATGATTTCATTCTATAAATCAAATACAAAAGACATTCGCGTATTTTTTTCTATTATTTTTCTTTAACATCATTGTTTAAATAGTAAATTGTCGTATTAATTCATTATTGTTAATTGCTGTATAATTTCACACTTTTTACGAATTTTATTACTTTATGTTGACATAAACATTTTTACTAGAAATGTGAAGATTATTTTCTCAGAAGTCAATAAAACTTTCATGTTCAATATTACATTAAAAACCTTATCATTATTCTTGGTCCTGTATGTATGTACTTTCTTCTTTCTTTAATAAACTTGAACTTCATTTTAATCTTATGGACGATAAGGCAGGAGTTTGCCACCGTATCCTATCGCATGGTGTCTCGAAAGAATAAACAACTGCCGTAACCCAGCGTATTTTACCTGCCCCAGCGGTGTTTGCGTTCGCGAAAATTTGCATCTGCATACTCTGGAAATTTGCATAAGTATATGTAAGGCGAGAGAGAGAAGCTGTTGATGGGTAGATTCGAGATATTGTCGCATTTTTCTCCAGACAGATAATATAATAATGCATACGCGTGTTTTTACGAAACTTGTAGAAAGCCAGATTGTCGCAGTTGTATCTTTTGAATTATACCTCTTTGTGATTTTTTTATAAAATACTCAGCGCATCGAGAATGTTTGCTCTAACTTCGATGTCTTCGCTAAAAACACGCAATGATTCTTTGATTTTCCTTTGCTGCAAGTAATGTTGAGCGCAGTGTGATGTTTTGCAGCGAAATTATCTCTAGTTAATCTGCATTCGTATGTATACGCGTCGATATTTCCGTAACGTTTTTTTACCTGTGAATTGATTGACTTTGGAATAGTTACCTTCTGCTGGTTTTTGCCATTCTGGTTTTTGCAATTAACGCCTCCGGACTTTTCCGATTGAAAAGTTAATTTCGGAAGTAAATACTTATAAAACGAGATGATTTACGAAACACATATTTATTTATTGAATTTTTTACATGTTTATTCATAATAAAGTGTGCGTTAGTGCAACACAGTGGAAATAGCAATTGAAACGTATAGCAGGGCACTATTTTCTATCGTTTCCTTCCATTAGAAAGTCTGACGAAACTCTTGAATAGGGTAGACTGTACCTCATGCTCGGGTTCGTTTTTCATTCCTATTGTAGTACCTTATTTTCGGTAACATCTCTCGCACGGACGAAACGGTTTTATGCCGACTTAAAGTCCGGAAAAGCGGGCTGAGCGCGATTGCACAGCAATTATGTGAAGTAGCGCCGCCCGTCGTGATGAAACGTCGAAGAAAAAAATAATGATAGAAGAAGGAGAGTCGGAACGCGCAAGTTACGGCGTACTTCGACATTGTCTCAATTAATGGACCGTGTTCAAAAGCATGAAAAATTGTAAAAAGTGGAAAGAGAAAAAAGAAGAAGAAGAGAGAGAGAGAGAGAGAGAGAGAGAGAGAGAGAGAGAGAGAGAGAAAGTGTGCGAATATGTGTGACGTTGCGAGGGACAATTTATATATTTATATAATAAATAATTAGTCGATTTATCGCATGCATAAGAAATACATAAAAATAATTCTTTTTGTTTTAAGAGTAAGTTTTCTAATAGTTTCTGTAAAATAATATATACACACGTACGTAATAAAAGAACGTTTACTTAACAAAACCGCATAAGTAACTCGTGCATGCTCGTATCTACGGTGCATACCATGGATTATACTCATTACAACCCATTATGAATGCACATTAGCATGTGAAAAAGTATAATCATGTAATATTTTACTTACTACATTATTTTTAACGTAAATGTTATGTAGTATTTATTGTAAATGTCCTGTGTTGCAAAAATAGTTAGATTTATTTTTGCGATACGTACACGTGTAACTATATATTGTATGTATAAAGTTTAAGAATGAAATTTGACGATATTTCTAGAGGCTTACTGAAATAATAACGCTGAAGAAAACACAGGACTAATCTTTAGGGTATAGAAGAAAATGATTTCTGTTAAACACAACTCTGTGTTTTATAATTATCTTATTCTTGAGGTAGTCCGATTTACAGTAAAAAGGAAAAATATCATTTAGAGAGAGTATATCATTTTTTTTACAACAATTCTAAAAGATCTACCAGTCCGACCCATAATTTAAAATTAAAATTTCAGAAAGAGAGAAATTTTGAGACCAGGTGCACAATTGCAGTGCACACTGTTCTTTAATTATTAAAATCGCATGAAAAAAGAAAATACTTGCTTCGCATTTGCTATGCCGCGCGTCAATATCGTAGAAAATGGATGAGAGAATGGGGAAGGAAACGTCTAAATAATTGGCATCTGCTTCACAAAATGCCTGTTTGTCGGCTGAGTGCCGTTTAATTTGCATTAACAAGCTGTTTGGCGTCTTCACTTTGCATACTCCCGTAAATCGAGTTACTCCTGAATATAATTGTTAGGAATACATCGGTCATGTTGTACGAACGAAAGTTGTCTATTGATTAGAGGGATGCACTTTCCGCTGACTTTCCATCTCGTTGTCGCCTCAAAAAATGCAGATCGTACGTGATTGCATTAATTACCATATAATTACAGACTTATCCCCGAAAAATTTTTAGTCGCTCTACGACTATGCAGATTACATTCAGACGTTACGTCAATAATCAAGGAAAATGTAAAAAGTTTTCTCGCGCGATATAGCCTAGAGTCTGCGCCATATCCGCCTTTTTGAGCTGAAATGTAACATTTCCAACCAAAAGGAGGAAATCTAAATGGCAAGCGGCGCGCTTTATGTCGCGCGTCGCAAAACGGCCTACCGGCTCTCTCGTCGTCGAGAAACCCTCGCGAGGAAGAAAACGTGTGTCGGCATAAAGAAAAGTACGGAATATCGAACGTGACGGTAGACGAGCGCAAAGCTCTATGGAAACACTCGTTTTCATTTCAAACGAGAAAGGACCGAACGGCAAAAAGGGGACACCACGAAAGTATATATTTCATTATACACCCTGCTGCAGATATAGCCTCGGTTTGCTACCCCCGTCCTCCGACGATGGATAACCATTGCGCGAAATAGGAAATATTTTATCCCGCGTATAAGAGGGACCTTCGTTCCATCGATAAAATAATCGAACACGAATCGTGACTGATGTCAGTCACCTCCCGAACGATATACGAGGAATCCACGGACCAATCATTCGATTTTTCAGTCGGCATAGGTTTTATACCGTGACTCGGCATTCGTATAAGAGGATTAAAAGAGATCGCGATGCGCGTATCAAGAGGCACAGACACACCGAGCGACTTCCGCGCGGTTAAAAGCAACGGAGAGAAACAGGACTTTCACATGCGATAAGATTTTATGTAACATCAGAATTTTAGATTATTCTTCCGATATGCGTCTCTGTTGCTATAAATAGCATATTTTAAGCGACAAATTATAAAATTAATAAAAGCTTTCTGCCGCGATCTCCATCGCGTTGCCCATCCGGGGCCGCCTACGCCCTCGAGCATTGACACAAGTCGTTGTTTGTCTATTGTCATAGGCGTCATAGGAGGTATCCTGTTCGGAAAGAAAATTGCACGTCCGTCACAAATTTATTCCGATTATATTGTATATTCCTTTTCCTTCCGACAAAAATTACACGTTTATCCTTGAGTATAATTCTGATAGACACACATTATAGTTCCCTCCATCAAGACTCTTTGTAACACCTGAGGCACGGGGAACGCATTTGGAGCGTTTGGCATAAATTTCGTGAGGAATTCGACGCCTATGGGGTGAAACGATCGTCGTAAGAGACGACGTCCGCTCGCGCTCGTCTTCCCGACGAGCAGACCCATACACGGCAGCCGTACACTCTGCGAGCGGAAGCCATGAATCTTTATTAAATCCACGAAATTTATGTCGAAGCGGTCGCGTGGATTGTGAAACGTGCGCGCCGCGCGCGATGGCCCCTGTAAGAGTATTTATTTTGCCCCTCGTTCCCTCTCCAGCCCCCCTCGTGCAACATGCGCAATCTCCCGTTTACTCTGTTCGGTCGTTTGCATTGTGTAATAAAATATGCCATTCCACGTATGCACGTATATACATGTATACACGTATTACGCATAATGCGGCTCTTCTTTTTTCCTTTCTTTTTTTTTCTTTCATTTTCATTTTCAGTGACGCGCGTCCGCCTTCACTGAGCGAATAATCACCGTCCGCGAGGCAGATGGACACGATATTTAATTTGACACGGTAAATAGCCGCCACCGAGGGCGGATACTTTCCATTCCTACGCACGCATAATTTCTGATTTGAAACGACATCAACACGAACTCGGTTCTGTGTTGTTCTACCCAATCTATTATATTTTTCTTCATTCGACTATACTTTCGCCGCACGCGATCGCGGAATAATTCGATTTTTTATACACGACAAGCGTATTTCCTCTTGCTGGACGAGCTCTGTATTTTGTACTAGCCTCTTTAAGAGGCGATATTATCATAGTGATTTATTTCGATCTTCTCGCCTCTCTACGTACCGCGGCGTTATTGCTACCATAAATTCAAGCGCGTTCACGATGTTTGATATATCCGACCTGACCTACGCTTGTCTCTCAGTTGTCTACTCTCCCAAGCACTCTAGAAATTTCGGCATTTCCGTGAGAATATTGAAACTTCCCTTATCGTTGTCTCGGTTGCTCTTTCTTTATTCTTTCTTGCAATGGTGAATTATATGTGCCACATAATTCGTATACTATATAAATGTAGATACTACAATACATTCGTTTTGTTACTTATTTTGTCTGTAACATCTCAAAGTTACTTGCTACTCAGATCTGAGACATTTTGTCTTGTTCTACATTGATCGTTCCTACAATTCGAGTTCTAACAGGCATACATAGTATATGCGGTAGATCGAGTCCTGTAGTAAATATCGATATCACTGATGAACGATTAAAATTAAAATTTTAAGCCAGGATGTATATATATCGTAAGATCGATACTTATTCCTAAACAATGTAAATTAATAAATTTTGAGTGCGAAATTTTTTTCAATTGTAGTAATTCATAATACTAAATATTTATTCTGAATTGATAGCGATTTACACAAGTTTGTACGATTTCGATAAGTAATTTTTTAAATACGTGTATACTTAACAAAAGTGTAACGCAGATAAGTAGATCAAATCGAGATAAAAATGTAAATAATAGCATTAGCTTTATATTTTATCTATAACTTAGGCAACAATTAAAATTGGTAATAATAACATCATGTTGTAAGACAAGTGTTATCTCTCTGCGGTCGAGGTTGATAACGAGTGCTCATTAATTAGCAGTTAAAACACTGCAAGCGAGTGCGGGCGATGTCAATCCACGTGAATACATACATCAAGCGCTTATTAGTCAGCTCCGCGTGAAGAACTTTACATCATTACGCAAGGCGCATAAATTTCCTACAAAAGCCAATAAACTTGATCACATTTAAATGACGAATGGAATCGGGTAGCTCGTACGTCTTGATGGCGAAGCAACAGCTTAGTAGGGATGGTTTATAGCGGATCGGAGAAGAGTAGGAAGAAGAGTGTACAGTATAAGTCGGAGGTAACGATAGGGATGGAGAAAGCAGAGGAGAGAAGAGGAGATGTGCGTGTGTGTGTGTGTGTGTGTGTGTGTGTGTATGTGAGAGAGAGAGAGAGAGATGAGGTAGGAGAGAACGGCAGGAGAAAAGGTATGTCTGTGATAAAAGCAGGTGGTGGGTTGATAGTAGAGAGACAGAATGAGAGAGAGAGAGAGGGGGGGGGGGGAGGAGAGAAAGAGAGGGGAGGGGGAAGTTATCTATACCGCGTTTAAACTCAACGGGGAAAACTGCGAGAGCAGGAGCGCGAGCGCGAGCTTGAAGCGTGGGTGCGGACTTTCAGTCGCGTGCGATGCGCGCTCTCAGTCGCCACGTATATTCCTCAGCTCCGATTTTGAACGCGACTGAGAATGAACGCGAGCATCAAAAAAAAAGCTTACGTAAAATTAGACAGGATCTGTTAAAATTTTCATGATCGCGTTTTCTATGAAGGTGTAACGAAGTATCTCCGGTGCGATAAATTTTCTTTACGATACGAAAGTCTACGCGGAGTACCAATTGAGACCGGTGAGAAATATATCGAGAAATAAATCGTGGGTCGCGATATTACAAACGATAAAACGCGGCGTAAACGATAGAATCACGGCCGTGTAGCGCAACGTATCGAGAAAGGTGCGCTATTTTCGATTGGCTTCCGATTGCACAGAATCGAAATTGACGAGTTCAACGAGACGGAGTACGAGCTTTGTGTTTGATACAGTTTGATGGAATGATGTATTATATATTTTACTATCGGCAAGTTTTTGCCGGTTGAGAAAATTGTAATTAAAACTTTACAAATAGAAATTATTAACAATAAGAGAGAGAGAGGGAGAAACAATGAGAGAAGGTGAGAAGGAAAAAAAAAGGATGGAAAATGCAAATGACAGTGTTTCGAATACAATTATACTCGTCATTGAGCAAACAAACTTTCCAGCTGTGAAAAGCTAAAGGCAATGCGTTGAATTAATCGCTATTGATTTTTATTAATTGATACAATGGAATTTATCAATTCCAAGTTGTACTTCTTATCAGCGCAATGACATATCTTTCACGGAAAGGTTCACGGAAATCGCGATCTCTGACCAATTGAGCGGAAATGATCTCTGTCTAATGAGACGGACATTGAAGTATTAGTGAAATATTTCATTACTATAAATGTTTATACCATATTTTCACGATCTACTGTCGTCGAAAGATTTAAGATAAAAGTGTGGAAGCTGAGCGGAACTTATAGATTCTTGTCACGCTTCGTTCAAATTATTATCGATAATTATGAGGGACAAGTTCACATTCAGCGTGAGTATCGTTTGGTATACGATGTTGCGATCGATATTTTGTGTTTTTTAATACGTCTGTCGCGATTTATTAGAAGAGTTGTAAAAAGAAAGAAAGAAAACACAAACGTCTGGCTAATATTTGGTTTGTAACCATCAGCAATATGGAATGAAACGCATGTAGATAGCTATCACTCGAGACCGTAGGTCACAGAGATTGTAGCGTATTCTCTCTTCTATTTATTGTTAGAGACAATCATGTCGTTTTGCGCACGCCGCATGAGTTCGTTGAATTTACCGTTCTACCACTTTGTCATTTATTTTGCATATCGTATTTTATAAGGCTGGCGAGGAGAACGCTGGCGTATATTGGAAACGAAGTGCAATATGCAATATGTATTATTTATATCCGAAGTGATAGAGATAAATCTTCGCTGATGTAATTTACAGTCGGGGGTGCCGGACATGCACGAGACCCTGTCTAGCTTCCCGGAACAGTTTGGGGATGGCCCGAGAAAACCGGAAATAAAGCCGGAAATTCCGAAGGAGACGGATAGAACCGCGGACAATCTGAAATGCGGTTGGTTCTGGTTCAGGCCAATTTATTTGCAGAAATTTCGCACTGCGAAATGGGCGCTTTTCTGGCTGTGCTGGGCTGGAGCGATGCAAGGTATGTACTTTTGATAACTTTTCGTATGCTGATTCACTCGGCGTGGCATGAAGCTTTACCGCAAAAATTCAATAAGTTTATTAACGCCGTCTAAAAATGAAATGTTCGATAACACGAAGACGCTAGTCAGGTAATATATTAGATTAGTAATATATTAGATTAGTGCAAAAAATTAGTAATTTTTCCGTTACATTGATTAAATTAAAAAATTCAGAGCTTTTTACAAAATAATTAAAAAGGTTTTTAACTAAATGGAAATATCTTTTATTAAAAGTAATCTGGGTTGTTTAAAAAATAATTTAAAAAGTTTCTGAATAAATAAAAATATTTTTTATTGAAAAAATAGTGTGTCGAAACCGGCGTTGCTAGTGGCAGTATAGTTTCGCTATATTTTTGACTAAAATTCTGTTTTAAAACTCCATTTGACAGATATGAGACAGCTTTTGCACTAATTTAATATTTCTCACTTCCTCCTTTCGAGTTTGTCAGTTAGCATTAGTGCGTGAAGCGTTAACTTTCTCTCCGAGATTAGACGCGAGTGTCAGGGACGTGAATATTTTCATACCCACTTTTTCATCGCTTCGCAAACTCTTATTATAAAAAAAAAGGAGCGAGCAAGTTGCAGAGCTGCATCTTTGTAAATATAACGTAATACCTTGATAACGTTCGATGCGATAAGATGTTATCGTATGTAGGCAACGCTAATAGTTATTCGCAATTTTGAGCTTCCACGTGAAAATGTATGAAGGGTGATGATTGACGATAACGAGAAAATTATTCGATTAACGTTCACGGTTCGTGTTAACAAGAATACGTACAATACGTCGGAAGAAATAATACTACGTTGATAACAGAAAGAGAAGGCTTCAAAAAATTCATCGATCTTCGAAAAAAAAAAAAATGTAAATTTACCATACAATACAAGAAATTATTTCTTATAAAACTTTCGAACGAAATACATGTTTTCTCTCGCTCTAGAAGTGATTCTTTGGGATTAAAATATATCTATTAGATGCATCCTAAGGGAGTCATTTATTTTGTGTGTTCCTATATTTAATAGTAGTTAAAAGTACCGACGTTCATGTACACATTATAATATTATTACATTTTTAATAGCGTGCAATATATCTAATATATCATATGATAACAGATACCACTATGATTATTAGTCGTTTGTAATAATTTGTAATTAAAATTTGTTAACGGTCGCAAAATTATCCTTTAATTTTAAAACAGGTTCGGTTTCAAGCAGCAAATATCGTAAATTGCTTCGTATAGGTAGCGAATGGAGTTATCGCGGTATCGGTCCATATACACAAATATCTTCATTGTTCCAGGAATGGTCGTGAATGGTTTTGTAAATGTCGTCATAACGACGATAGAGAGGAGATTTGGATTAAAATCGTCGGAGACCGGCCTGATAGCGGGTGGATACGATATAGCTAGCTTCTTTCTTCTCGTACCAGTAAGCTATCTTGGCGGCCGTGCGAAAGCGTCGAAACCAAGGTACGCACGTGTATACCGTCGCGCCATTATCTTACACATTAATATTAATACCAATATCGGTTCTATACGACGACTCTCATAAATATTAATTCTAACGCCAGTCCGTCCGACACTGGCGACGTTAATCCCCGTCGCGTTTCTTTGCCACGGCGACGTCTCGGAACCCTCACCCGTGTAATCGACAATCGATATCCTTTCCGGAGATCTTAAACCTCGTCGTTGAAATATCGGATTCAATGGCAGTCGGGTTCCTTAAAAATTATTTTATCCAATTAAAAAAAAAAAAAATGAAGAATATGGTGAACTCATACTTGCCAAACAATACGCATTACGCCATGATTCTCCTCACTCTTATATTATTCAATTCACCTTCGAAAGTATGAAAGTCTTTGAGAATTAAAGAGAGAATTAATTTTGCAGTGTTTAATTTCTCCTATATTTCAATCAGATGTTCTGGAATGTCGTAGGTATATCGGCATAGGAGTTCTAGTCTTAGGTATAGGTAGCCTGCTGTTTGCGTCTCCGCATTATCTTGCCGGACCGTATAGAGGAGGTCAGCAAACAGAGAACATATGCCAAAGTGTCACTAATATATCGAGCCATTCGGTAAGCTAGCACAATAATTAAATTACTATGGAATGTAATTAAAATTCTTCATTTACATATCCGGTTGTTTACTTTATCGCAACGTGACAAGTTTAATCGAAACGCGGTGGCTTGTCCCGTGTAACACCTTCTGATAATAACACGGTCATATTGCACCGTTAAATTCTCTCGTTAGACCCCTAAACGAAATTTACATCACGATCGATAATAAACACAATGCGTAATTCAATGCGTGCGTGATTAATCGAAACTTGTTTGTAATACCGTGCTTTTCTCGATTTTTTCCCACTTTTATTTACGTAGTTTGCCTAGTGAACCGGCGACGCCAGATTTATCATTATTTCGGCCACTCAGATATCCTGCACGGATCAATCTACCGTTCAAGCGGAGCTAGAGCCTTACAGTGGCGTGTACTTAACCCTATTTCTGGTAGCTCAGTTGTTACACGGTGCCGGCGCGGCACCCTTTTATACGCTCGGGGTTACGTATTTAGACGAAAATGTTTCGAAGAAGATGTCTTCGGTATATCTAGGTAAGATTATATATAAGCAGCACAAATATGCATATCGATTTTCTTTCCTCGATCGATATTGATCAAACGAAATGTGTGTTTTAGGTGTTTACTATACTATGGCTATAATAGGACCCGCGCTAGGCTACGTTGTTGGTGGCGAACTGCTGAAAATTTACACAGACTTTCTCACAGTGGACTCCTCAACGTAAGTATTTAAACATTCAAATAGATCGATATTTCCACACGCGCGCGATCCGTTTTTCTTTGTGATTTTCTTAAAAATAAATCAGACACCTTTATTTCCGTGGGAAGACAGCGAAACGGGAGTGATGGATATTTTATTTGTAATGCATAGTATGGAGTACATATGTCGAACGAAAGACAGGGAGAAACGCGTATGGCGGTCGTGGCGTCGGAATTCGTCTCTTCCCGTTGTCAGGCTAAACGCATTTTCCACTTTTTTCCCCCTGATAACATGCGGGAACGTTTAGTCGCGCGTCAGCGGCAACTTTATTAAATTCTCGCGAGGATTTATCGGTCGTTCGCGTCTATCTCTCCGACGGAATACACGAGCACACGAGTACTGTGTGTGTGCGTGAATACGGAGGCACGAAAACGCGCGTGCCAACGCGCGGTTTCGAACGGAATAACTCGCCGATCTGATGGTATGCAAATGTGCATATTCGTCATCTCGCCACTAGCATTCGGATGATGCGCGTACGTTGGTCGTTTGTACGGAATTCGATATCGATAGTAAAATGATCTCCCAGTAATACGTGTATAAAGCGCCGATTAAATACGAGTGCGAGGGTGAGCGTGCAACCGAACGCTCTGATCCGATTAGCTAATTTTCGAGAATAATTGTCAAAACGATTGGAGGCGGTTTGGTATTGTCACACGCTCGATATTCCCTTTCTCAAAAAACAAAACAAAAAAAAAGAAACATATTTAGCCAAGAGGTATGAAAACACGAAGAGACACATTGCTCCTTTAATGCACCGTTGCCGTTAAAAATATTTCCCCAGGATCATTAGAGCGTATAATGGGCCGAGATTAATAGTGCGTGTAACTCTACCGATATACAGTGTATATCCCGTGGGGAAAATGTCAAGTGGCGAACCAGTGTTTGACGATGTGACACGCCGATATTACCCTTCAAAACTGTTGGCTCATCCCCCCAGCACTTAGGACACAATCAAGTTCCATTTGTCTACTCGCCTCCCCGTGGACCCTCCCCCAACTACGCGCCCCTTCATCGACCGTTGAGTCATTCTGTGCCGCGTGAGAATCAAATTAATCGTTAGTCGAGGATACAATTTTTTTTCACATATTTTTGTCGTACTCACACGCACCTGAAAATCTTATTTACATGAAAAAGCAATGAGCGAAATGGGAATAAATCGCGATGCGTCTCTAGTCGCACTACTGTTGCGGTTGCAATTACATCCTTTTTGTTTTACAAGAAACGAGATTCTCGAGAAAAAAGACAAATGTAAGATGAAATTATTCGCGTGTAATAGGTACGGTTCTCCTATCGCTGCATGTGAGAGTCGTTCGTGCATGCGCCGCGTTTAATTTCGCAGGTAGATGAAAAGTTTCGCCGGAGAGATGCAGCAGCGGCAAGCAGCCAGATGTAGCTGGCCTCAAGCCGGTTTGGAACAAATGACTTCTCTACGTGCACTTTTCCGCTTTCTCACTTTCAAGTTCCTTCCTGCGATAAGTTACATTATAGTTTCACTCGCGTGCCGTTCCTTTAGTAATAGGTTCCGACCGTTATACAAATTATTCCTTTTCTTGGATCGACTACCGAGTCTGCCGTGTCCAGACATCTCATCCTTTATCGTATTTATCGTATTTATTACCTTTTAGAAAATTAATATTGTCATCAATATATTTCTATAATTCTGCTGGCTCAAGTGAAACATTCAATAAACACTTGCAATTACACTAAAAAAAATTTTGGTCCAACGAATGATCGTTAAAATCAATGTCAAACTTAATGTCCAACTTAATGAAGTTAATTTATTAATACAATAACTGAATTTTCATTAATATAATTATTCTTGTAATTAATTCTAGTAATAGTTTTATAATCTAAATTATTATGAAAATTCATTGGATCATTAATTCAATGAATATTTTATTGTATTTACGTACAGTTTTGATTCAGTATATAATATTTATTATCCAAATATTTAATAGCAATCTTTTATGTTATTAATATTTATGAGGATAATATGATTCGCTTTTATTTTATAAAAACATACTATTTTAGAATCTATAGGATATCTGATAAAGAAATTCTTCTCCATTTGTTAAAAAGATAGTCTTCTTTCATTATATTTTTTTCTTAACCGACAATTATGCATTACGTATCCGTCATACATTGAATTTTAATGAAATTACTTTTATTCAATTAAATAACCGCGTCATTAACGTCGAAGCCATGTAAAAGGAACGTTCGCTGCATCTCGTACTGGCAATTAATCAAAGAAGTTACGTGAAACTTTGTCAATCGAGAATTTCTAATTGCACGAAATTAGAATTGCCAAATTAGACAAAAAGTTAAATGAGAATATGTAAGTACTTTACAAACGCGCTCGAAATAATCTTGTAGATCACATCTTTCTTTGACGGAGAAAAATCGGTCAGATATTTTTTTTTTAAATCAATTTATTCAGCCGAGGTAGAAACGAAAGAATTAATCGGTGTTCTAGTTTCGTTCGACTTACATCCATTATTGTTAAAAGAGAATCCTTGAAATAGAATCCTTTATATGGAACGAATTCTAAATATATATTTCCAAAGGCAAGACCTGCCAATATGTTTTACCGAATCTATTGCATCCTATAAAACCGTTGAATTTTAGGATTGGGTTAACTTCTGATAGTAATGTCTGGGTTGGTGCATGGTGGATCGGTTTTTTGGCAGCGGCTGTCATATGCTTCGTCATCGCGATACCGGTTTTGGCATTTCCTGCAGTTTTACCCGGTACGATTTCTTCTACATTTTTAGATAAAATAATAATTAAATAAACTTGATATATATATATATATATATTAAATGAATATTCAATAACTTGAATTCTAAAAAGATGAATGATTTGAATAGGATCGGAGGAATTAAACAAGGATAGGGTATCAGAAGCGCACGAGAAATCGACTCGATCTTCTACCGCGGCAACCGGAGAAGCGTTTTCCAAGATACGAGAGCTGCCACGTGCTATGACCGAATTGCTTGGAAATCCGGCATTTTTTATGCTGAACTTGGCAGGTGCGAGTGAAGGGTTGCTCATCGCTGGATTTGCTGCTTTTCTACCGAAACTGATTGAAAATCAATTCAGCGTCAGTGCCAGTTCAGCCGCGTTGCTGATGGGTGAATAATGTCACAATTCAATTAATCTATCATAATATAACATGAATTTCGATAAGCACACGGACCGTTGTTATAAAATCATTTTCATAAAGTTTCGAAAGAATGATTTGATATAAAAGAAAGTAATTCAAACAGCAGTAAAAAAAAACCTTAACAGATATTAATTGATGACATATATTAATTAATTATCGCTATGGTTTATATTACAAAATAATGTTTGCCTACTTTTAGGATTGGTGACTGTGCCAGCCGGAGGCGGCGGTACATTTCTCGGTGGTTACCTGATAAAACGCTTCAATTTGCCCTGCTCTGGCATTTTAAAATTTTGTTTACTAGCTACAACCGCCTGCATCGCTTTCACGTTATGTTTCGCTTTAAACTGCCCGAACTTGGATTTCGCCGGATTGACTGTGCCCTATCAAAACATCACGAGGTTTGTACAACCGATGGATTTATAGTGGCAACGAAATAGTATAAATCGAAGCATTTTGTTAGATTAAAAATGCTGAGATTTTTGTTAATAGGAAGATCGCGTTGTCTCTCGAAGACACCTGCAACAATGGCTGCGGATGCTCTAGATCGCAATTTGATCCTATATGCGGCGTGGATGGAGTCACATACTATTCACCCTGTCATGCCGGATGCTATCGGGAAACACCGATAAACAATGTCAAAGTATATATTTCCAGTATATTTCTAGACTAGAAGAGCGTTCCGTTTTTAGCCAGCGAATAAATGTCATGCGCGACTATCTTTCTAGGTGTACTCGGATTGTAGCTGCATACACGCACCGACGATGAATTTGACGAACGAAGATACCGGCGATGTCGTCCAGTACGAGGCTGTTAATACGACTTGCAGTAGCTCATGCTCGTACCTGTGGCTATTTATCGTTTTGGCATTTTGTAATATGTTCATGACGTTTCTGTGCACAATGCCAGCGCTCTCGTCCACCCTGAGAGTCGTGCGTGACGATCAACGATCGTTCGCTTTAGGCATACAGTGGATCAAAGTCCGGATTTTAGGAACGATACCGGCACCAATGATATTCGGCGCTCTTATAGACGATACTTGCATCTTGTGGAACGAAACGTGTGACGGCAGAGGAGCGTGCCTCGTATACGATAATTACTACATGAGCAGGTTGGTCATTTACACGGTGGTTTCTTTTTAAACATGATTCGCGGATTAGTTCTCACAAGTTTTGAATGAGTTTGCTGCAAACCTGTTTTTCACAGGTACATGCTCGCGCTGGCATTCATCGGGAAAGCGGCTTCGCTTCTTTTTTTCTTCTTAGCATGGTGGACGTACGTTCCACCGAGCACGAGAGGCATCGACCAGAATTCTCGGCAGCAAACGACGGCTACTTTAATGCTGAGCGACACGTCTCAAGAAGTTGAAATAGTATCGGCTACGATAGCGTAATCTTGAATTACTTTATTTTTCCTTTTTAGAAAGTTATTCTTTTAAAACGGTTATTTTATAGAGGAACGGTATAGAAATAACCGCGGAATATAAGCGGTTAGATAAATGTCCTAACATTCTTTTTTACGGTGAGATTCACGAACAGAAACAGGATAATTCGTATTAAATGAGAATACTGTCGCAAACACATAAACAGATATTAAGATAGGATAAATGCGTATACGTCAATATACAATATGAACAAAACTTGTCATGAAAATCCTTTTTGCACGTTAGAAAGATAAGTTTTTGATAGCCCTACAACCGAAGTAGCTCGAAAAGCTATAGATTCGGAAATCAATCAGGGGATGTAAAAACATATCCAGATATAGTTGTGCCAAAGAGCCTATAATATGCAAAGCATATTCTACATTTTCTTTATATAATGAACTTATAATGAAATTATAAGTTTTAGGCTCAATTGCACCAACGTTACTTTGACTTTAAGTGAAGCTTAAATATCTCTTTTTCTTCTTTTAAAGCCGACGGAAATTAAGTATTGCTTAAAATTAAAGTAACGTTGGTACACACACAATCAGGCTTTAATGCGATAAATCTATATACATATAAGCACGAGCCAAATAACCCATTTGCGCAACTCAATCCAATTTTCCCTATAATGGAAACTTTTATAATCCTACATTCGCTAACTGTCAATTAAAGATTAATTAACTGCGTATTCCCCTTATAATGATAAATATCGATAGTTCTTTATACCCAAAATGTGACTTACATAAATTTTGAAGATGGTTTTACCATGTATGAGCCTTGGTGATTGTCGTATACTATATTATCGATTTGATATTACACTTTCTGCGCCGTTTTTCGCTGTAATTATTTTTATTAAACGGAAAACGCCAATATGCCTAGAGCACGTATTTATACATGTCATCAATAAAAAGCTCAGATATATTACAAATCTTTGTCTCTTCCAATATAAGATTTTTTTATCCAATATAAGATTCCCATCTTTTAGATTTTTCTTTCTAGAATATATTTTTATAAGCAAATCTTGCAAATTTGTTCCAAAATATTATTGAAACATTTATATTAACAATTGATAAACCAGGAAACGATTTTGATACATGTCGCACAATACTTTTACGCAGTTAATGATTGCTGATAAAATCGTTAACTACATTTGGAGCTCTGTAGAAAGCTGTTTTAATCGTGTGTTATTTTAACGGAATAAAAAATGGATCAGTATCTTTTATAAATTTAGAAATGCAAATTAAAAATGCAAGAAACATTTTTTTTTAAGTTAATTAAAAAATTTGCTACAAAATCAGTTGATATAGTTTTAATATTTTTACATATTTTTTACATTAACATATTTGTTTTTATACAACTTTGTACTTTCGTTTACAAGTTTTTCAATTTTATGATGATTATTTTCATCAATCAATACTTACTAGAATTTTAAGCTAATTATGATGTTTCGTTTTATTTTACATACTTGCTTCCGTCAGCGTTTCACATATATTTATTAGAAATTATTAAGTAACTATATATAATATAATAATATAAAACATTTTTTAATAGTATACACTGGCAATTTTTATAAATCTATAAAGTCTGTGAATAATAACAATCATTAATAAACGCATTAAAGCTATAATTAATTACGCTTTTAATGTAATATTAGAAATTGTGTGATTAAAGTTTACGACTACAAATATTAGTTTTGGTACTTTATTATATTGCAAAACTCGAGCAATAATGACAAATATAATAATACATTCTATGCGGTTCCCAAATTTTTACAATGCATGACGTATGCAATATTGATCGAGACTGTTGCTTTTGCATACATATAGGTTTATTATCCAATATGCAATTGATTGTTTCATCTAAAATGCGATATATACATTAAAAAATATATATAAAAGCATTTTCTAATAGATTCTATATTTTCCAAAAGCAGACGCTAGTATAAAAGATGTGCAATATTCCTGAGCAATATATTTATCCCTTAATGTTTGATAAATAATAAAAATGCCATGATTCCAAGAGCATTACAAGCGGCAAGTGGAACGCAGCCTAAGTGTGCCAGGTATATTGTTAAGAAAGGTAAAGGGAGGGAAGTAGTAGAAGGTGGAAGGAGAGAGAAAGAGAGAGAAAGAGAGAGAGAGAGAACAGCTTCAGACTCATCCTCGAGTTACTTTCACTTGAACTTCTCGTAACGCCGTGTAGTGATCTTCTTGAATCTAGACGGTGGAGCGGAGCTCCTGCTGCTTTCCGCGTAATTCGAACTCGCGTAATTTTTTAGTGATCTTAGATTATTTAATAAAATGGCGTTTTACTGGATTCTACAATCGTACCTTCTACAATGCATGCTATTTGTCGTTATCACTCACGCTGAAGAAGTTTTTGTAAGTAATGAGACTTTAAACATTAATGCTAGTTACGTTACATTGGATTAGCTGTGCATATTGATGACGTTAAAAATGAGAAATTGCTTATACTTACATAAGTTTGCAAATTAATTATTAAATATCTCGTTATTAATTGTTAAATTATCTCGTTTTCGAACAAATGTGAATAAACGTTTTTAAGTTGTACGATTCGATCATGATTGTTCGCCCACGCAGAATACCACTCCGCCAACCGTCAAAACCAGCTTTTCCTGTCACAACCGGCCTATGGGATTTTATGCTGACATCGAAGCGAACTGCAAAATATATCACACGTGCGATGACCATGGCAACAAATTCACTTACCAGTGTCCCGAAGGAACGGCTTTTCGTCAAGAAGCTTCGATATGCGATCACGTTTATCTCGTCGACTGCCAAACGACTATTTATCCGTCGGCTTTTCCAAACGAGGATATAGACAAGGAAATCGCGCGTATAACTTCCTCGACGAGGTCCCCAGTGGAATCGAGCAACTCCCTCGATGATCATCGATTGGCATTCTCGCGTTCTTTCCGAGTGATTCAACGGCCCGACAAATCGATGCCAAATAAGTTCCAATCCGGCTTCGTCTTTAGCTCGAGTCTATTCTTAAAGAATCAAGATCGAACGCGGAATCAAGCTCGGCAAATCACCGACAATTGCACGACATGCAACGCTGATGTGAGGAAGCACACGACAGATTCCACTGAACGGACATTTACCAAAGAATTCGATTCTTGGAATCTACATAACGACAGGTCAATGGTGTCAAGACAGTCGTTAGGGACTCACGACAAAAGCACCGTGCACCCTAATCATTCATACGAGCCGCTCTCGAATGCTTCGCCCGCGAAAACGATGGCATCGGAAGATAACCGGCATTCATCTCCCCTGCGTGAGAAGTCTTTCTCCAGTTACAACAGAGATATCCATCCGTACTCAGAGACGTTACGATCGATTCAAGCTAACGCTTACGTAAAATCCACTACAGAAATTCCTGTGCACGCTTTGACGTTATCTTTGGAGCCGTTGGTACCTAACGAGCTGGAATATGATCCTTATTATCCCAGACAACCGACGTCTACCGAGGCGTATTACACACCCAGCAATCGCAACAGGATTAATACGCGGTTTTTCAGCTCTAGCCAAGCACCGCTAATAGCCGCGCGCCCTAATCTTCCTTTTGAGATTCCATCTATGCTGCCCGATTTGAATACCTTGGAAGATTTGGTTGATCGCCGGAAGTTCTTCTATATCCCGCGCACAAATGTGAAATCGATATGACGCGCCATTAACTGTTACAACCATTAGATTTGTAATGTTATGTGAAAGAATTCCTTTTTGTTTTGCATTATCGCAAAAGGAGTTATCCATAGAATGTTCATTATTTATATTGATGTGCATTATTTATGATTATCTAAAAATCTTCAAAAGTATTTTAATAAACGTCGAATACCATGGAACTCGACGGCTTTAAAACGGCTTGGACTCCTGAAGCAGATGGTACATGAGTGGCTGTTATGCTGAAAAAATATAGTAATGTTGATTCTTTTAAAAATTTATGTAAGAAACTTAATAGTGCGATTATATTCATTGATATTGCATCTAAAATACTTTTCACTGGGGTTCCAATGTTCAATAAACGGTGCTAATAGTTTCGTAGCGATTTGCTGAATATTTATTGAACCTCGGAACATCTCGGTTAATGTGGCTATTATTCCGTGTTGATGGTGATATTTTGCTTGTAAGTGCTTAATCGTTGTCGTAAATCTTGAAACTATCCATGCACGTTCTGCAATACGTTAAATTAAAAATACGAAACATTAATTACACATCCTAATGTAAGTCCTTACCAGAATATGTTTCTCTGATCGGTAGTAATTGCTGTATATTCTTTATGTCTTCCGATAAACAGCGACATTTTTCTGCAAGGCGTCGAATATGTTCGTTTTCTTGTTTAAAAAATTGAATACTTTTATGCAACTCCTCAATTTGCATTTGTAATCGCAATTGTACAACTTCCTCGATCCAACGTTTGACATTCATGTCTTTTTCCAGCTTCTGCATCTTTATTTTCTTGATCTTTTGTACTTTTGTTTGCGTTATTTCTGTTGAATCTAAATGCAGATCTAACTCTTTCAGTTTACTAAAAAATACACGAAATATATATTATTTAATCGCTTGAGTAATGAGTTATTACGTATTTAAAAATTTAGTATTCTTTTAAATTTTTGATAGAGGTGATAAATTCAAAATATATAGATTAAAAAATAATGTTTATTATTAATACTATTATATATTAAAAAGTATAAGCAGCTACATTATATTATTACTCGACAGAATGTTATAAGAATTGACAATTTTAATAGTATTTATTGTGAAAAATTGAGGAAATTATGTGATATTTATTTATATTTAATATTAGATGGAAAGAATAAAAATTATACATTTATATAATATTGTACGTTTTAATGAGTTCGTCTTTTAATACAGACATCGGATTGATAGACACTTTACTTTCGGTTCCATCTTTCACAAGCAATCCACACGCGCACGGACAAAGCTAAAAATAAGTTCGTACAATTAATTTTATATACACTCATAATTTTATAATTTTTTAATCGTATTATATTAATGATTAAAAAAGTATAAAAATATTCGTTCGTATTACAATACATAGTACGTTCAAAAAATTGTTATTATGTAAGTTGTCTTTAATATTATATTCTTTTTCCTATTAATATTTAAAATAAAATATTTTTCTACACTGTGTGAACAAAGAGTTATCTTCGAACAATTTTTTAAATATAAATAATAAATTTGACTTACCATTTCCTGAGTAAGCGTCGCTGCATCTTGAGTGGAACAAATTGTAGACGATATATTGACGATACATTGATGTGATGATTCACTGGTCTTATATTCATGTTCGTTAGCTATTTTGCATAAACAACAGTTACCGCTTATATAAATAGTATCTATTATTTCTTGATAATCGATTGTGTCAATTGTAAAATACAGAAGCAACAGAAATTCCTTTCAGAAATAAAATCTGTTTTTTACTCACTAACGTATCTCGGCACTTGACTTGTACTACCACACCTTTGAGACTCATCTTGACGCGCGATTCTATCGGGAGATTTTCGTCGTATGAACAACAGCTTTGATTGTAATCCGCTCTCACTTGTACCAGTCGATTGGGATTTTGAAGAGACTTTGTCTTGTCGTTTTGTGCGATCAATATTACCATTTTCTTTGGAAAGAATATAATCAAGTATATCTCCAGGAAGAGAGAAATTATCGCTACTTCTATTCTTATCGGCAGGATTTAAAAAAATTTTATAAGCCATTTTCAGCAATATATTCTCAAGCTGTTTCGATGAGATACCGTGGCCGTAATCATCACTTCTTCCTCTGTCGATCACGAATTGCTTTGATCTCTCTGAAGAATCCTTCAGGTGAAGTGCAACGCCACAGCGTGCACAAACTGAAGAGGACGTGGTCGCGATTAATCCAGATTCAGGTTTATGCGGCTAATAAAAGTTACTCACAATTATTGTTATTTCAATATTTCTGATTATTCTTTATCGAAAATGCAATAACGATAAATCCAAAAATAAAAATTTCGTTACTTGAATACCCCTCTCGTATCGTCTTGAATCAGGATAGCGCATCCGAGGATCTGCGTCTCTCCTCCGTCGCTCCTCTATCGTAATTAATTGTATCAATTTTAACGCAGCTTCTTTGATCGCTTGCAATAAATCGTGGAGCACCGTGATCTGTTAGCAGTTTGTTATTGTATTTTCAATGTAGATCGTAGACTCAAGTAGATACATTAAATAAATTGAACAATGCAATATGATTTTTAATGCGTGATAAGATCATTTCTTTAAATATAATAAAATCCTAAATGTGTTTGCATTATTTACAATGACTTAAATTTTCTTAACTTATTTATTATATCAAAAACAGATAAAATAAATTATAAAATTATATTGTGACAGAAAGCAAAAAAGGTGTATTTTTACTAGATCCGATTTCTATTCGACCTACTTGCTGCCGATCATGATCGCTATCAAGCATAGGCGAACGATAAGGCCTTCTTAACTCTCTGCAGAAGCGATATGCAGGACAAAGAGGCATTTTAGATTGTGAATGCGTTGTGCCTGGCGAAGAGGTGTCATGACTCATCGGTACAACACCTTGCTTCGATGGAATCGCGATGGTAAGAGGACCAAGTTTTACGATATCTTTCGCGTCGCCTGCTATTTCCATCGCGTTTAATTTAAATAAAATAAATTTAATCTAATCTCTGAAGTAACAGCGGCGTATCAACAACACGGATGATTCCGACGATTTCCAATAATGTTGAGCCATTTTCATTTTATATCGCCATGTCACTTGTCATTTCGTACCATTTCGTACCTTTTTTTGGTTATTTTGGTACTAATGTGCCAACGATTCGAAACTTGAAGAAAGGTTGATGTTAATGGAAGATACTTCATGATGTAGCTTAAGGCGTTTATTAGTAACCTAATTTCAACTTGTCAAAATTTTTTGTGAACGATGGCTGATTTTTCTAGAACATCAGCCTCTGTGGCAAATACTAATATAAATAGATCTGTAAGTGAAATTAATACTAGTAAAATGAGTTATTGGAGGCAAATGTTGAAAAGCTACGAGAAGAGGAACGCTTCGTTGGAGAGGAAGCGTAATGTACTCGTCGAAAGAGTCCGCTTTATGGAATGTACATTGCCATCTTTGCTGATGGGCGTCGCTGCATCTACCGCCTATGGCAAACGAGGAGTCCCCGATAAACAGACGAAAATCCCCGAAAATATATCCAAGTCCTCTAATCAAAATACGTAGTTGTAGCGAAACGTATTGACAAGTAATTATAGCACTCACCCAGTGAAATCAAAAACAGATTTTGCAGAGTATCTGCTCTAAATCTATATATCTTTTGACAGATAATAATAAAATATAATAACAAATTGACTGTATAAATCGAGTAGAATCTTTTGTCTTGTAACTATTTGAAAGATATATTTTATTTGAATAATAAAAATAAGATTTGGTTTAACTCTTATTCGTCTTAGAAATTTAGCAATTTAATAATAAGAAAGACGGAGAACAGATGGACAGTTTTATTTCTTGTAGATACACACGTGACAAATAAAATCGATTCTATGTATGAAATGAATCTGTAAGCGAGGCAAACAGCCATAAGGGTCGAACAAGGCTTGATCAAATCATTTTCGCTCCGAAAATCTACAGCATAAATACAGTAAGTGTTTGGATATACATACTTTTTGCAAAAAATACTAAATCTATTAAATCACTCAAGATCGATATACATGATACTAAGGCACGTTCGTTGTGTTACAAGATCGAACGAAAAGTAGGACTAGAAACACATTGTTCACACTCCAATACACATGTCAATGAACATTAAATGTTGAAGCATACGTACGTACATACACGTATATATTTTTCTTTATAAAGACACACGCAAGTCTAGCTTAGTTTCGATAATAAGATTCATGAAATGATATTCTACAGTGAAGGTAGCAATTATCTCAATTTAATTTAGTATATAATTCTATTATATACTTTATCGCGTAAAATCGGCGTGCAAAAGTTTAAAATGAAAAGCTAAAAAAAAAATTATCAGAGTGAAGTGAATCCTCGTTGAGGAATTTATATGTTCCCCTTATATAATACGTATATATTACTTTTCTACATTTATTCTTTCTATAACTTTTCACACAGTGTATAATGACGGAAATCATAACAGAATCTCCAATAGTCGTTTGATATAGACATTATAGGATCTTCGTTCTCAACGCCACTGCACAGACATGCCTTTGTGGGTCGTTGAATGTATCACGAATCGTGCGGTAATTTGTGACACACACGTGACGTGTTGTCGCAAATCAGCTTACACGCAGTTGCGTTCTCGTCATATCAAATTTAAATTTACGTCCAAACGTGAATTTAAATTTCGATAGAGATATACTAAGAATTCGAAGATACATTTGATACATTGGTACACGAACATGTCCGTTTAGCGCAGTCATCTTCAATCTGATTTCCTATGGGCGTCATTCTTCATCTCTAAAAAAATGCATCAATCGCGGATATTTCGAATCATACGTGAAATTATTTTGTAATAATTATTGCACGTTGTAATAATTATTACAAAGCATCGTTATAGTTATTTAACGCTTTATATAATTTACGCTCGCGTGTGAGGGAGATACATATAATCTACGGCTTATTTGGCACTTGATTTCACAGCTTGTACGAAAAGATTGGTCGTGACGTGGGGAGGTGAAGTACGCCAAACCGAGGGTTAAGGTTGGCACTCGATCCGCAGGCGCCCTCGTTTTATTTCTAGGACGTACCATTTCTGATCGTCACTTGGGCACACCAAGCAGCGCCAGCCGTATTGTCCTGTAATAAATTGTTAAAACATTTATATAAACGGGTTGTTATTTATGTTTTAAAATCAATGAAGTCACCTAATCAATTATAAATAAACTGACTCAAAGTTAAGATTAAGTTACTTGTGAAGAAGTAATATCCGCTATGCAGACATAAATCGATATGTCCAATTTGCAGAATGAATTAAATCTAAAACTCATGTTTTGAAGTACCTGAGAAACTAATTACGATTTGCTACTCATTAATATTAATATAGACACTTAAGAAAAGTTATCTTACCTCGTTTGTGCCGCGGGTTTTACCCACGGGTTCATTGACTCTTCTGTGGAACTCGTGGGTTGATGGACAGAGTCTGCGACGACGAGAGACGATGGAGAACCTCTTCTCGCATTTATCTCCAGCGAAAATAGATCACCTGCGTAAAGTATACCCACGGTGAAGTACGAGCTTACATCATGTTCCCCGTATAATACAAAAGTTTTCAATTATATTACAGCAACATTGTAATCTTGTAAATTGCAATAAAATATTACAGACATTATAGAGAGACATGCAATTTCAACAATTTGTAGCAATATTAAATTGTAAAAATATTATAATAATATATATATTGCACGATATGTTGTAATCTTGCACTGAATATTTCGGGAATGTTTGCGTAATCTTTTTGTGCTGTACAAGTTTTAATTCTTTTGCTGTTATAAATAATAATCACTTAAATGTCCAATATATAAAACGACTGTAAATGCTTGAAAGATTTTTTGTGTGACAGTCGAATCTGCTATAATAATGTTTTAAACATAGCGAAAAAATATAATATCGCTAAATATCAAATTTTGATGCGTATTTGTGTCTTTAAATAAAGAAATTTTTACTCGAAATGAAATTGATGCTCGCTATTTTTACGAATATAGAGTGCCATGGCGATTAAGAACTATAGCACACAAAATGCATAAGCATAGCATAGCTAGCATAAGATGTCTAGATCGATGAAAACATTATGTAAACAAATTAATATGGAAACTTTATGCAGGATATTTATTGATCCAAACGGTCTTATGATATGGTATGTTATGCTCATGCATTTTGTTTACTGTAGTTCTAATTTCTATGAGACAGATGAAGAAAATAGGAGAAGTGAAGCATAATCGTTACCATCACCAACTGGTATCAAGCGCGTAATGTATATAAAAGTGATTACGCCATGTAGGCGAAAACTTTGCTATAAAGCTCAACTACAGTCCAAATGGCTAGTCGGAATGTTTTGAACACAGTGTTCGATGAATATTCTCTAATCAAAATGCATAAAAAGTCATAGAGTGCACTACACTATAATTGATAATTTTGAGAATGCAAACATGATTACAGGCATAAAAAATAAAATTGCAGCGCTACAATATTTCAGTAAGCAAAATATTCGCAGGGTATCTCAAATAGCAAACTTTACCGAGAACAGATTCTACAAAATGTCTGAAGAAAGATTAGCAAAATTTGTATCAGATACTTTGCTGAATCTGTTGGATTTATTGTAATCTGGGATACTTGATATTTAATTGGCTATCGTATTTGACAGTTGTATCCTTTTTTATATTTTCCAAATAAAACTGAGCTTGTCGGTCGTCTGTCCCATATACGTACGTTCAAAGACGTAAGGTAGATATGCAGTCGGTTAGCTTTCCTTCTCCTTCTCCTCCTCACCTCCTCATCTGCATTTTCTCTCCACGACCTCGGTCTTCTTCTGTTCGTCGCTATTTTCTGGAAACTGTCGCTCCGGAGAACACGCGCTTTCTTCCGCGCGATCCTCTATCGCGAGGGAGATTCCCAGCTTCTCAAAAACTACATATCAACTTAGGCAGACATCAGCTTTTAATTATAACGCGAGCACAACTTTCTTCGGTATGAAAACGGAGAATTACAGCGAAAGTTTACTAGATGATGTTAACGAATTTTTAAGCCACGCCCGTCTTACTAAAGTTCGATGTTAAGGATTGTTAAGCATAAGCTAAACACAAATTTCCTGATATAAGACCAACGGATGGTTTCTTCGTCCAAAGGAGACGTCGCGGACGAATCTGACATTTGTCATTCTTGCTGTTTTCGCGGACCGTATTTCGCGCTCGTTACTCCTAACTCGTCTTCGGCTAACCTTCTTTTCTAAGTCGTTTTTGGTAAGATCAGTAACGGCCGGTTCTTCAGATTTATAGCGTTGCAATTCGTCTTCCTTCTCCTTTTCCTCCATGGGTACAAGCTG